AAAGTATAAATATTTATTATACATTAGTAAAATAGCAAACTGTAATTTAAATTTTATTTTAAATAATACTATATTTTAGGAGCATCATAACTTAATAATTAATTTGTAAATAGATTTTATGTTTATAAGAAAATATATGCAGAAAGGCTAGAGAAATAACTTTTATTAAGGTACTGAAGTATATTGTCTTCTAAAATAACGAGAAATTAGATTATTTATTATCTGTACGGAATTAAACCACCTAAAAATCAAAAACAAAAAGTTTCGGCATTTGATTTTCGTCGGAGGTACGATAGTCACGTGACTTCGGAAAATTATTTGGTAATTTAGCAATTTCGTAAAAGAAACCCTAATTATGAAAATCCTATCTAATTTTAGGATTTATAATAACAAAATTTAAATTTTGTCATACGATATACAATTTTCTTATATCGAGAGTTGACTATAATTATTTCTTTTGAGTCCATGTATTTATTATAGAAAACCAATCCTTCTTTTTATACAATCATTATTTCAAATATTAACTATAAATGTTTTTTTCCTAACGAAGTCAAAATCTATTGTAAGTGAAAATATAGCCTTAAAATAGTAAAATAATTTTATGGTTATTAAACGACTAGATACGTAAATCATTTAGACGATTTTTAAATCTTTCAAGCCTTTCATCTAGAATTTTTATATTGTCTAACAAGTCTGTACTCGTTGATTTATCTATATAACCATTAGTCATATATTTACAACTACATTTAGCAATCTTTGATGCAATTGTTTCGGGAAGCTCATTGTTAAAAAAATTATAAATCTTGTCTTCATTTACGTTATGGGTTGTTTTAACAAAAGGTTGTTCAATAAGCAAGGAATGACGCTTATTAGAATATATAACAAATTTATTGTAAACCAATAATCCGGGGATATCTTTAATCACACTTCTTAATAGACACGCATAAAGTGATAGTTGTATCTAGAATATAAAAAAAAAAAATAAGAATTGTAAATAAAAAAAATGGAAAAAGAAATCAATTAATACTGTACCTCGACATCAATATATAAGACAAATTCCAAAGGCGGATATTTTGACCACTTAGCGTCCCCTATCATAAGGTATTTTTGATTATTTTCCTCTATCACTAAAATAAAGTCTGGTCTAAAAAATCGAATTACTACAACATCTTCTTTGTCAAGAAGAAAACTTTCTGGCATTTCAATTTCCAGTTGATAAAAGACCTGTCCCGGTTTAGCGCTCCTTAGAATGTTGTTTAATTCTCCGACCGTTTTAATACTGCTACAATCTTTCGCTTCTAAATATTTTTTAACTTCTTGTTCAAATTTTCAATATTCTCCTTTTCTGTTGTTTCCATATGATCTTGAATATTCTACGTTGAAGGCCGTAACATTCTTATTTAACTTATCTTGCAGACATTTTTTGCATTTTCCGTTAAAATAATAATCTTTAACTTCGGATACACTAAGAGAAGTCTTAAATTGTTTGCAAATATATTTGTTTATGAAATTATAAGAAATTATTTCGTTCTCATATATACGTTTCCCACTAACTACAAGTATAGAGTATGAGTCAATTAAAAGAGATAAATCGTGCTTAGAAAGTTGTAAACACAATATATGAGGTCGATCCCCTGGTTTCAGTGTTTTTAATAAATTTTTTTGCCTAAGGTCAATTAAAAATATAATTGCCCTAAGTATTTCTTCAGTTGTTTCGTCAAGATGAAGGGGAAAAATGCTTAACCCATTAATTGCATTTATGAGATCAGAAAGACTTAAAGTCTTTCCGTTTATAGATTTCTTTAATGATTCATCATCAGACAACACTTTATATTGGATAGTTTGCATAATTAACAATAAAGATTTTTGTTAAAAAGTGAGGTTTGAATTTTTCCAATCGGAAATAGAGCGCGAAAAATTGTAAGAAGTTATAAACGAAGAGACGAAATTTTTGCTTTCGTTTTATTATACTTTGTTTATTATAACGAACTATCCCAAGGGAAATTTCTAAATATCATATGTTAGAAAATAAAAATTTTAAATCTCGCATTTAACAAATATCAAAGTTTTAAGTGTAGCAATATGCACATGCGTAGGATCTTCATAAATCGATATATCGCTTAATCAGAACAATGCGATATATCGCTTGCTTTATTCTCACGAATCACGTGTAACAAAGGTTTCATAATCAATACTCGAACATCGAAGAAATTTAAGCGTGTGACATAATTCATTTAAATGTATCATTATTTTCATGTGGAGTAACCCATATAACTACGTTCAGAATATAAATCATTTCATTATGCGGAATTTTAATATGAGAATCAAATTTAGTTGAAATTTAGTCAAATTTAAGAAGTTAATTTTTTTAATAATATTAACAGTTTTATTTATGCTTACACTACCGTTAACTTAGGCAACAAGTACATGCTGTTATTTAATAAAAACATATAAATATTAAAAAAACTAATATTTTAAATGTTTTTCCGTCCTTTCTCCTTCTTTTTGAATATTAAAAAACTTATTAGCAAGTGCAGGCAGCGCAGCAGGGGACACTAATAATTTATGCAAAAACACCAAATCAGTTACAATGTTAAGTGAAACAACAAGATGATATTAAAATTGAAAACAATCATTACCAGCTATTATTTGATTAGAAGAATATTCAATAAATTATAAAGTTAAAAATGTTGCAATCACTGCAAAAAATTGATATTAAAATTACTTACAGAGGCTGTGCATGGGTACAATTGTTGCCACAAGACGGACAACATATTGTGCAGAAAAATGAATTGCAGCAGTAAATGTAGCATTGATGGCACAGCTGACATCATCACGCTTAAAAATCACATCACGTTTTTCCATGGGGTTGGATTCAGCAATGGCTATCATAAAAAACATAGCAACCAAAGCAACAAAGAATGAAATCGAGAATTTTATTTTTTTTGAGAAAATGTTATATATTCTTTGGTGAAGTAAAACCTTTTGAAAGAAATTATATATATTTCGGACTTTAGTAGTTGGAAGATTTTGGACGGATTTTTATAGTGTTAGCATGAAAAATAGTAGGGTTGGGAGCCGTAGCGTGGGACATGGTGCGGGCACATGGGTGGACGCGGTGCATCGATCAGATTATGCATCAGCGGAGGGTAAAAAGTCTAAAGAGCTTAGTAATAATTAACATAGAATTAGAATTAATAATTGACGCGACATGAGACCTATAAATAGTAGTAATAAAAGTAACTTAGTCATGGTAATAGAGAGAGTGAGAACCATAAAAAGAGAATCTGTACTTTGCGCCACGATAATTAATAAACTTACCTTTTTCGGCTAAAGTCGCTAGTAGCAATAAACTTTAGGGCCTGGTCAGAGGGAAGAGAATTAATTAAACAGAATCTTAAGTCAACCAAGAGAAATAAGGAAAAGGTTTCTCTTACCCTGCCTCTATCGTGGAGCGAGCACTGGTCCTGAGTTAGCGACAGACTCGCCGGTAGAGACAACAATAGATATTGCTTGTTGTATATGAATATTAGATGCTTTTCAGTATCAGTTTCTTCAAAAGCCTCATAACTTAACAGCCCTTTATTCCCCAAATAGCAAAAACTATAATCATCTTGATAAATAAATTATGCATAGCAATAATTAACGCAAATAAATACAGATCTTTTAATTATAAATTGCATAAGTGATCTTTTATACAAGCTATTTATTTTTATTAATAAACAGAGCTATATTAAATAAATATTGATTGTTAAAAATATATAAGTGTTGGGTAAAACATGATATATTCTCGCTCAGATATAAACAAAATAAAACAATTATATTCATTGAAAAGATTATAGGAAGCTGATAAACACTATACTGTATATATGAGGAGTACGGCATATTTGCTAGTAATGAGAGCATCGAAGCTGTTAGGAAGGAGGCAATTGATCATAACTATTTCAATCATGTTGTAAGGAGTGCCTAGCAATGGGCTCAAACATCCACAATCACGATATTTTGTGTGTACACAGCCACAAGCTCGAACATCTGCAACTATCACAGCCACCTCTACCACAAATATTGCCACCGGCTGTAATTGTAACGTGATTGCGTGTTACAAAATTTGTAATAGGCTTTAATCCACAAGAACTTGGTGTCTTTATTTGGTTTTCTATGTAAATTTCTAATTAAAGCGATTATAATAACAGTTCTAGTTAAATTTTTTACAATTGATAATAGGTGAAAAAGTGTCATTGTAAGATTTCTTCAAATATAATAATGAGCGAAGGATTTTATATCAATTTTAGGCTTTTAAAGTAAATTTATTTGTTATGCGAACAGTAGCAGATATTTTTTTCCTGTTTTTAGTACTTCCCCGCACGTCCCATGCAGTACGTGTATTGTATTTACGCGAAATTTCCATTTATTTCTAAAAATTACATTTGCATTTGTTTTTCTTTTAAAAACAACAAATTCTCAAAATACGTATAGTGTAGAAATTGCGAAAAAAGTTTAACGTGAAAAAAATCACAACCATAATAAAATTCATGTGTTAATTAGATACGCGAAACCAATTGAGTATTCTGAAGATGAAAAGTTGGAGTTTATTCGCATATTAGCAATCATGTGTAAACGGGGATAGATAATTATGTCAAAAAATAAAATAAAACGTGCATAAATAGAAATCAATTATTTAAAGTTAAATACATTTCAAACCTAAAATTTGTAACCAGTCATAAAATCTTATTAATTGACAATAATTAATTAACATAAATTTTTATTTGTTTATTATAAAATACATAAAAAGGTAAGTTTTTCACATAACTCAATAATACTTTAAACTTGAGCTGACATTATAAATCGAGAAATAGCATAAATCCTATTTGTCAATTTTAAGGCTCCAACGAAACCAAAACAGTAACATAATAAACTTTTATTTTAATTAATTTTTTCTATGACCTTGGCTATATCCGTCAAATTTTCAAGGACAGTATACGCTCGCGTTTCCTTCATACCCAGAGCCCCATAAAGGATTGAGAGAATAAGACACGTACAGGCATGATGAATTTAAATAGAATTTTAGAACTCCTTTGACTAAACATAAGTCTATGTCAAGCTCGATTCCTTGGTTGATATCTCCTTCTAAACATCCGGCATTATAACCAAGAGCAGTTATGCAAGCATTAAGACTATGGTCACTCGGGCACAACGTTCCCGCTATTCCAATAATACCGACGATGTTAACATATAAGGGAATACAACCGTCATCCCCCTGCTGCCCGATCCCGACATCAACATCAGTCTCGTTGGCAACGAAGTAGTTTTCAGTAATTTCTTTGATGATACCCGTTGTTCCTTTGAGACGAAGATAGGTTCAAATTTGTTAATTGAAGTGTCGAATTAAAAACAAATGTGGGTAAAATAGAAATGAGTTATTATCTACCATTTCTAACAGTAACACCTAATAAGCAAATACAAATTAATAAATTAAATTAATAAAATATTGCTTAGAAAAATAAATGAAAATTTATATGATAGATGTTACTATAATTAATATTTACTTGTATCCCCTAATATGCAAATACGAGTTAATGAATGTTTGAAGAAAAAATAAAAATAAACATTAAGACTTGATGAATTGATTAACATTTACGTACTTTTACGAATTAACCCATCTCCTAATAATTAAGTGGAATATGGCAGCACGAGTTAATACATGTTGCTTAGAGAAAATAAATGTAAAAATTTATATGAATACAAGAGAAATTATTTGAATTTACTTTTATCGAAAGGCGGATATTGAAATGCGGTTGTTATGGAGAATAGAGTAGCGAGAACTAATGATAAGATGGTCAATAGTTTGAGATTCATTTTAAAGACTATATTTCTTTTTAATTCGGATCTATTAAGTCAAATATAATTAATTAGTTAAGAGAATAACCCAATGTAAAATTTAAATGATAAGAATAAATAAATGCCAACTTGAAATTTTCGCCTTTTTTTTTAAGGAAAATTGCGAAAAGAAATTTCAATTCCTTTAAATAAGTTAGAGGAGTTGATGGCAAAAGAAATAGACACTTAAAATGTTTGTAAATATTTTTGTTCCACATCGTGTTGCTAAAGCCATTTTGCTATAAAAGCTTGGAAGTTCCGGAATGCTTGTACTTCCTGGCTTAGATTTAAAAAAAAACAAAGTCGACATTTTTTTGCGCTTAAATAATAGAATCTCAAACAAAGTTGCCGTGTTCACCAGTGTAAAGTACTCGGGATCGTTACAGTGAAATCAAAAACATGAAATAATACTGTACAGAATATGGGAGCACAAAATTTTTTCATAATTTACCAATAAAATTGAATCTCCTAAATCCTAGTCATGTTACCAATAATTAGGGTTGTTAAAAGTTCGATTCGGTTTGATCGGCTTGAAAAGCCGAGTCTTAATTAAAATTTGGTTCAAAAACCTGACTTATTTTGTATTATATAGATCTCTATAAATAAATACATTATAATTATTACAAGTACGTACTAATTTATTACTAGATTCTATTCTATTAATATAAAATTTATCTATTTTAAAATATTAGCTTCTAACCAACTTTT